CTAAAAGCTTCTTTTATCGCTACTGCTTCATCGTATATAAATATTTTTTTAATTTGTTGTTGGAAGAAAATGGAAAGAGTTGAAAATTGTTAGAAGAACTTAAGTGTTAAAGAGACTCAATAAATGACCCCAAACAAATATGTAAGCTGAAATTCTATTTTTGGATAAAAAAGAGTTCATAATTGCTTGTGTTTAAGATTATGACTTTGTTCTTTTAAATTCGATTTTCAGAGTTAGATGTTGGAAAAAACTGAAAAATATTAAAAGAAACTTGAAGAAGTTGAAAAATGTTAGAATAAATGTATAAAAAATTCTAATTTTGAATTAAAAAAAGTCATGGTTGTTTGTGTTTAAGGTGGTATGTTATAAATTTGGATATATAATATTATTGTATATTCATTATATATAAATATATTTTTAAGTTGTTGGAAGAAAATGGTAGGAATTAGAAGAAATTGGAAGGAGTTAGAAAAACTGAAAGGAATTGGAAAAAATTGGAAGATAATTTTTCCAATCCAAAATAACGGAGTCTATATGTTACTCCCTTTGTCTTAATTTATATTGCATGTTTCGGTTTATGATGTTTGATCAAAATTATTTTTAAATCATTTTATATGAAAAATGATTTAGAATTTAATAATAAAAATTACATATAAAATTACATCCAAAGATCTACGAAACTAGTGTGACATGATTATTTTATTTTACGAAATGACTACAAAAATTAGAGAAAGAAAGTGAATGAACTTTGATTCTGTATATAGTAAATAAGTAATTTAATTTGAGATGGAAGGAGTATAAGTTAGGCTATATAATGTTATCGTATATTCACCATATATAAATACTTTTTTAAGTCGTTGGAAGAAACTAAAAGTTGAAAAATGTTAGATAATTTAAGTGTTAACAAGTTACTCAATAAATTATCACCAAAATAAATATGTAAGAAAATTTTAATTTTGGATAGAAAAGATTACATCATTGTCTGCGTTTGAGTTGGTATGTTATAAATTTTTGTATATATTATTATTGTATATTCATTATATATAAATACTTTTTAAATCATTGTTGGAAAAATTTTGGAATTTGATTTTTTTCAATCCAAAAAAAACATGCCTAAATCTTGTTCTAATGAATTTGAATACAAAACTTACTATTTCTGTCTCACAAAAAAGTTTTACATTTCTTTTTTCATCGGGCCTGAAAAAAGGTTCCATTTTTCATTTTTAGAAATAATTTTGTGGCCCTTATAAATCATTTTTTCTCTGTATCACTTTCAATTATACAATTTTACTTTTCTTAATCTCTATGTCAAGTCAACGATATAATCTTTATATGTGATGGAGCGAGTAATTCAGTTTAGTTAATGCACATCATGAGAGTTATTTTTTTATAAAAAGAAAAGGATATTTTCATTTTAAAAAAAGATGAGCCTCATCCCCAAAAACCTCCTCAGACCCAATCGAACGGTCACTGAGAGGAGATAAATTGAACTTTGATCGTAGATTGGTAGCAAAAGTGGAGTCAGCACATGGTACTTGTAGAAATCCTATGCTTAGCATAATTACCTCCCAACGCAGTTGTTAGAAATCAAATTCGGGTCTTAACCTTTGATACTCTTTGTCTTTGCCAACTCGACAACGCCCACCAAGAAAGAACAAATATTTTTATTCAAATAAAAGGTGGATTGTCGGCGTCGGCCATGGAGCAGTAATGTTTCTATCAAATAGACCCCATTCATCTTTTCTATTATCGATAATTCCAACGACAAGAGCAATCTAATATTTTTCCCAACTGATTCATTCTCTTTTTATATATAAATTAACTTTCTGAACATCCATCGAATTAATCCTAAACCTCTAGGACGCATAATTTGGCCATTGCAATCAGACAATAAGAGATGCCAAGTTGAAAACGACATCTCTGTCCCTCATAGATCTTCCCAATAACCCTTTTTCTTTGTCCACAATAGATCTTCTCATTTCATCTTTTAACAATTAAAATACCACAACTACCCCCACTTACTTTATTTATTACACATCACCCACCTCATTTATTACACTCTTACCAATTCTTATTCTACCTATCAAATCATTTATATTTTCTAATAATCTACTCATTTTATCTTACTTTACATATCACATCAAGAATAATTTTAAAAAATCAACATAAAATATCTCATTCTTAAATTTTCTAAAAGTAAAAAATAGAAACATCTTTATGAGGTAGAGAAAATAAAAGAATAATAAATTGATCAAATGCTCATCAAAACTTTAAAAGGCTTAAGTCTCTTCATTATATAAATATGAACTAAGTAAATAACCTTTTTACGAAATTTAAATTGAGCAAAATGAAATCAACTTCATATTTTTATTTTTTTCGGATGAAAATTGAGGCTATGAACACAGATTTTTTAGAATCCATATCACAAATAAAAAGAAATTTTATTCTTAAACGTGAATAAATAATTAACCTCAAGAACTACATACAAAAAAATGATTTACATTTTAAAAATCTGAACCAATTGAGAAAATGTTGTTTGGTTGCACTTGGGAGTGTTGGATTTTCAACCAAATACCAAATGGAGTCAAAAAGATTGATAGATTATGAATGATATTTAATCAAGAACATTAATGGATGACTCAAATTACGATTCAGCTTCTAATGCATTTATGCTTTGCTGAGTCGTCAAACTTTAAAGATTTATATTTTAGAGAAAAGCAATCAAGTAAATTGATTTGATCCAAAATTTGACCTTCTAAATTTTATTTGTTGGAGTTGATAAATAAAGACTTTTACGATTTAATACATATAAAATTCACAAATACATTTGGAAATAAAAATACATGTATTATACATTTGGCAATGAAAAATTCATATTCCAGAGTATAATACGTGTATCATACCTGTATTATATGTGAATAAACTAACACAGCTACCCTTTCCCTTAATAGCTGCTTTGACACATGGGAAGGCGAGGGTGGGAGGCTGAGAGAGGATTTTAGAGTATTTGGGGGGTGGGGAATTATGGTAAGTAGGTATTTTTGCAAAGATTGTTTTATATTGAAAATCAAAACCGTGTAGTATGGGACACCTTCAATCTATCGGCATGGTTCATACCTCTAAAACCGCAGATGCCCCAAGTCACCAATCGGTGAAATTGATGGAAGAGGTGGGGTCAAGGGTGAGGCTTAGAGAGAAGAAATCCTTTTTTAATTTAAAAAGAGTAAAATTATATGATAGATATTTAGATATAAAAAACACCTTATTGCTTTACCTACATGGAATAGGCACTCTTTGAGACACCTGAAAAAAGGAAAGCAAAAAAATTCAAAAAGAACGGAGCTGAGTATTAAAATTATGTTTTCCAAACTGCCAACACATCAACCAATTCAAAGATCCACGTCAATTTCATCAGCAAACAAAATGGGAGTTCATCCAAAGCAAAAAAACACTCGAGCTCAAGAAAAGAAAAATAACCACCGACTGTGGGGAGCTTAAGCAGATTGCATGCTCCAACATGCCAGAGTAGTAGAGAGCTCCTGTTAAAAGAGTAGGTAAGTTGACATTAGGCAGTAGTTAGCACAAGGCAGCAGAGACAAATGTACAATTGTAGTCAGAAACAAAAAGGCAAAGAATTGAATGGATTGAGTGTGGCCTTACATATCTTGTTAAACGCCACAATGTCACAGCTCTGAACGTGTTCATTGATTGGTTCAACAGTGAGATAATTCTCGACAAGATCATCAACTGACACAAGGTCATCCACAATCGTGAGCATGATTTGCAATTTCTTGATGCCATATCCAACTGCAACAAGCTTGGCTGTGAAAAAAGCAATACAAATTAGTCTGTCCAAAGATGCACAAGTCTATTCTAAAATTGTTGTCTGCATTTTGCAGGTCGAGCGCTCAAGCTTAATTACACTAGATAATGAGCAAAATGATTCTGGCCTTGAATGAATTTAAAATATATAAATCAAGGTTGTTAAGGTGCAAGGCGAGGCTAGACGCCAACATACCTTCATATCGCCTAGGCGACTTGGCGCACACCTAGGCAACAAATGAGAAACCTAGACACACGGATAATATAACCACAAATAGATATCCGGTACAACATTTGTAATAAAAACTACACATAATCTAAGACAAACTAAGTGTTCACAGGCATTTAGAAAACCACAAATAAAAGAATTCAAATAAAAGCTCATCTCCATCCTACTAGGTTAATCACCCATACATGCAAGTCTAAAAATTATGCTTGAACATTTCATTCATGTGGATATCAATATCTATATCCATAGACTCATCATGGTCACAAGTAGAAATTTAAAAAACTTCCAAGGACTGGACACCTAGGTCTGGGGTACTCTATGCCCTAAGTGGCTAAGTACATAAATACATACATACATACATATAGGGCTGTTCACCGGTCCAGAACTGGACCAAACCGGACATAACCAAAACTCGAAATGGAAAAAAATACAGACCGAAGACATTCAGTTTTTGACCGGACCGGACCAAAATCAGTTTTTGACCGGACCGGACCAAAATCTATCGGACTGAATCAGTCTAGACCGAAAAGACCGAAGTTGAAGAACAAATCAGACTCCAAACCATCTTCATGTTTTTTTCTTTTTGGAGCAGATTCATAAACACCAAGAGTAAAATAACATCAACAATTCTAAACACCAAGAACTTAAANACCTTACAATGCAATAATTAACTATTTTATTCTAATCTAATGATTGCTTTCCATATTAAGAGGTCAACAAAATTGATTCATTTAAGCCGCACGATGCATCCAATTTGACGTCTCTGATTTATTCTTATTTCTTTCACCAAGCACCATTCTCACATGAACCGACTCCTATATATATATATATATATATATATATATATATATATATATATATATATATATATATATATATATATATATATATATAACTAACGAAAATAGATAACGAAAGTGCTTAAAGTTTGGCCTGGAAAGAACGTTTTAGGACAGAGACAGTATTATTGTAAATTTGGATATATGATATTATTGTAAATATTTATCTTAGTCTGACGGGTGTATTCCCACCCAGGAGATGAACTGGGCCACAGGCTACATTTGTCAACTGGGTTGACTAAAGTACCTCTAAGGGGGATGAAACCAAAGTAATGGGAAGAAGTCAACCAAGTAGGCCAAGACCACCTGGGTGGATTTCGAACACTTGATATCATCAGCCCGAAAGCAGATCAGTGAGGGAGAATCTATTAAGAAACCGGGTGGATCTTTCCAAAGGTACACCCGGGTGTTTTATCAAAGCTCGCGCATATTTTCAGTTCGGCGGGTAGCGTTTGGAAGGAATCGGATCCTTTGCACTTCGTCACATGGCTCAACAGGGACGAGCGGCGCCTGCCCCACTCTACCTTATGATATTAACCAGTTTTATTTTCAAATTAATTTATTTGATTCTAGGTATAAGATAAACAATAAAATTAAATATTTAAAAGCTAAATAAAAGTATTACAACATTATTTTATTCTTTAAAATAAACAAAGTACATACTACATAAGACTTGATCTTGAAAAATTTAATGGAATGGAGGAAGTATAATACTCCCTCCGTCTACAATTAAATTTTACATTACGCGTTACGATGTTTGACTGAACTTATTTTTAAATTATTTTATATGAAAAATGGTGTAGAATTGAAAAATAAAAATTACATATTAAAAAACTACATCAAAAGATCTACAAAACTAGAGGTGACATGACTATATTATTTTATCAAATGTGTGACGAAAATAGGCCAACAAAGTGAATAAAGTTTGACCTTGTGAATACTGAACGTAAAGTTTATTTGTGGACGGAGGGAGTAGTATATTGTGTATTTAAAAAAGAGGAATTTACTTAAATAGCACTAACTAAATCATGATAACTTTTCCTTTTTCGTGAACCAAATATTTTTTCAAACAAATGATGGTGATTTGATTATAGGTATTTTTTATTTTATTTTTATTGAAATATCAATGAAAATGTGTAAAAAGGAAGGAGAAGAAGACTAGAAGAGTACCTTGAAAACGGAACCAAATCCACCTTGCCCGAGCTTGTTGAGATGGGAGAAGTTGTTAGTGGCGATTCTGACGGTGGCGAGCTTGAATTGCATGCACTCTCCGTTGCCTCTTTCCTCCGCAGCCAACCGGCCATGAAATCCCGACCTTTTCGTCATCCGCCGGAAAATGACGACAGCAGCGAGCACCCCCGAGAAAGCAACTGCGATAGGTGCCGATATAATCGCAACCGTCCGAGAACTTATCCTCCTCCCATCTGCGGATACAAAATTGGGTAGATCGGATTAATAAACATAAACCGGTACTAAAATTGAACACAAATTGGAGATCGTCTTCCCGTTCGTACTTCCGGTACTAGTCTCCGCATTGGCCGGTGGATGAAAAGGTAGAGCCGCCGGAGGATTCGCCGGAGGCGGAGATGATCCGGTGAAGGAACTATGATTATTATAAAACGGGTACAAATCCCAACGGAAAATACAACTGGGAGTATAAGAAGATCCTCCATGGTTTTTACCGCAACAGCTCTGAAACGCGATCACGGTCTGTGTCAAACAACTCTCGCAATCGCGTCGAGATAGATCTGGAGTGCATTGAACCAAGGCGTATATCTTCATCAAATCACTGAAATTCCTCTCTCCAGAAGCGTACTTGATCTTCGTCCCCATGGAGGCCGCGGCGATCAAGCTCGAGATGTGATTCTCCCATAACGGTTTAATCCGATCCGTCTCATCAGACGTGAATACGCCGGAATTTCGGAACTCTTCACTCGGAGAAAGCTCCGATTTCCCGGAAAGGGAACGGTTCGAATACCTAACGAAGCACGAGAAGGGGCTCACCCAAGCCCAATTGATTGCTTCGATTTGGTTGGGGCAACTGTCCGCGAGCTCTTTGATTCCAGAATTGATGCATTCGTTGCAGGTTTCGCGGGGCGAATCGGCCCTGCAGAGGGCGATTCCGTAAATCCTGTCGGCGCCATGGCCGACTGTGGTGTTCATGAAGAAGCCATAGGTTGAGGAGAGGTTGGAGGAGAAGGAGGAGAAGAGGCGAGCTCGGTTTCCGGCGTAGGTGCCGTTGGCCGTGAAGTTTCCGGCGGTCTGAGAGCAGACCTGTGCAGCTGTGAGGCCATTGAAGAAGATCGCCAGTAAAGCAAAAAGAACAGAGGGAGTATATACGGAGGATTTCATTTTTTTTGTATACGGAAAAAAAGGAGGGAATTTTCAATCAAAAAGATCGGAGATGAAGATGAACCGAATTTAAAACAAAAATAGTAAGCGTAGAAAATTTGCGCAGTACAACGAGTTGTTTTGCAAAGAACATTTAACATAGATTAATCCCTATACAAATAAACTTTCTAATTATTATTAACATGGTCAAACTTTATTATGTTTTTTGGCCTATTTTCGTCCCTCATTTGATAAAATATTATAGTCATGTCACCTCTAGTTTTATAGATCTTTTGATATAGTTTTTTAATATGTATTTTTTATTTTTAAATTTTACACTATTTTTCATATAAAATGATTTGAAAATATCTTCAGTCAAACATCGTAACGCGCAACGGGAGTAGCGGCTTACTATCCCATTCTTTTTTGGCTATTTTTTCATTTTTGCGTCATTTTATTATTTTTATTTACTTTTCTTTTTTACAAATGTGATATCTTCAAATTATCGATCTTGTCTCTCTCTTCTTAAATAAACCTAAACTGCTATCTACCGTTTCTAAGACTGTGCGTAATGGGGCGTGCATCCCTCATCTGCGACGGTTTACCCCAGTTAATCTTTACCACCACCCTTTTGGATGTAAATTTTTTAAAAAAATGTTGGTCTCGTGATTTATTTCACAAGGGATTTCTTTCTTTATTCTTGTGTGGCTCATGTTTTCATTAAATATTTAAAATTATAAAGTTTCTACAAATACTAAGTGTAGACTTTACTCCATGTTATTAAATTTGCGATTAAAATTTGAATTAAAACTTGATTTACCTTCTTTCAACGACTGTCTTGTCAGATCAAAGCGACCATCGAGAATGAGGCCTATTCTTTATACCATGCATTTGGTCTCTTCAATATTTATGAAATACTTTGTATATGATTATTTAATCATTTGGTAATTAATGGGATGGCATAAAATGGGTGTTAACCCGTTGACATGGATTATAATGAGCCTGTTGACAATTTACACGGCAAATAATAACCCTATTTCAAATAGTTCAAAATGCTAAAATGGCTAACGGCAAACAGCTGTTTCCCAAATACCACGGCGTGTTTGGTAAGTGGAGGAGCAGCCATTTTTGACTCTTTGACTACCAAACCCAAATGCATTTTTGACGGAAATTTATTCTAAATTACCCTAGATTTTTTGTAACGACTTTCAAATCTCTATATTTAAACACGTCACGAATCGAATTTAAAATATTTGAAAAATGTTTGCCCCCAAACTTTAAGGGTTCTCTATGGCTCACATTTGGACTAACATTCACGGGTCCGATAGAGTGATTGGGTTGAAGAAACCAATCTCATGATTCCAATGGTATTTCAATCGGGACTGAATTAGTGAGATCTATATATGTTGGCATACACCCGTCACATGCTAGAGATTGTGTTAAAGAGCAGATTGATACTCTAGGGGAGGGGTGGGCAAACGGTCTTGGAATCGTGGGTTGGAATCGAACCGCACAGTCTGATGCGAGTTAGGATTATCTCTAAAATTTTATCTTTAAAAATGGGCTATGCCAGGGCAAATCTTTTAGCAAAATAAGTCAGACCGGTTTCTAATATTTAAAAACAAGTAGACCGATTCACATAGACCAACATATTTTCTATAATTTAATAAAATTGTAAATAGATTGAACAAATTGAAGTATATTTTTTTAATCAAATTGTATTAATTAATAAATTCTATATGGTATATTCAATATTCTGTTTATAAAAATATATAAATAACATTATTAGTAAAATTTTAGCCGTCAATCATATTTTTCTTATGTGTTTTATAACTTCAATGGGTGAAAATCGTTTATTGGTTGAATATTACTCCCTCTATCCAACAATAATGTTCACGTTCACTATTTACAAGGTTAAACTTTATTTACTTTGTTAGTTTATTTTCGTTGCCCATTTGATAAAATAATATAGTCATGTCACCTCTAATTTTGTACTTCCTCGTCCCATTTTATAATGCCAGTTTCGGTTTACGATGTTTGACTGAAATTATTTTCAAATCATTTTATATGACAAATGGTATATAGTTAAAAAATAAAAATTACATATTAAAATATTACATCAAAAGATTTACAAAACTACTAGTGATAATAGTACTTTATTTTATTAAATTGCTAACGAAAATAGAAAAAGAAAGTGAATGAAGTTTGACCTTGTTAATAGTAAACATGCATTATAATTTAGAACGGAGAGAGTAGATCTTTTCATGTAGTTTTTAAATATACAATTTTTATTTTTTAATTCTATACGACTTTTCGTATAAAATAATATGAAAATAACTTCAGCAAAACATCGTAATGCGCAACGAGAATATTATTGTTGGGTGGAGGGAATATAATTTATTTTTATTTTGTTTATTAAAATTCATGGATTACTTTAAGAAAGTATTATTCTATTGACTATTCTCATGTAAATTTTGTATTTGTTTGTGATGCATTTAATAGTAAAAAACTCATGGACCTATGCACCGTTTGAAACAAATCAGGTTGGGGTCGAATCTAAATACTCCCCCGTCCCAATTTAAATAGTCTGTTTTGATTTTTGGGCATATTTAAGAAAAATAAAAAATAGAGTTGATTTTCCAAAATTGACATTACTTTTTAGGAGGGGTGATGATGAATGTGAAGATAAAGTGAAGAAGTGTGACTTATTTTAGAGGTAGTTTAGGTATTTTATTTTTAAAAGTTTACGAAAACAACTAACATGCAACTTATTTTAGGACGGAGAAAAAAGGCAAACAGACAATTTAAAATGGGACGGAGGGAGTACTATTTTTCTAACAACCCGGTCCGTCTCGGTTATTCTTAAAACAAACCGGGTTAGGGCCGGGTCGTATGAAAATCGACCCAATCCGGGCCGTGCTCGCCCCTACTCCATAATGGTTCCCGTTTGATAAAGTTTAGCAAGTTGTCCCAAATAATAAACATAGTCTAAAAGACTAAACTGAAGCTTAAATTTTGGGGAAGAGTTATTATGATTGAAAATCAAACTATCTGGGTTCAAACTCTGATATAGAAACTTGATTCCTAGAACTCTTCTTGTCACCATCATGGCCACTACTTTTGGAAGAAGCAGAGTGAGAGGTATGGGAAGAAGACGACCAAGACGATGACGAGTACTGATGGGTCGTGGAGTGAAGGGCGTAAGCCGGCCTTGCCGGTCTTGAGAGGACGAGGGAGCTACTGCTGAGCATGAGAAGAACCGAAGCCATGGTCGGTCTGTTCCCGGCGTTTTCTTGCACACACAGCAATGCAATATGGATGCACCTCGTTACGTCGCTGGTTGAACCAGCCACTGGCATTGTGGGATCAATGAGTTCCAACGCTGTCCCTTTGTTCCACATTGACCATGCCTGCAAAAACAAAACATCCACTTATAAGAAATCACCCAAATACGCATAAAACACAGAAAAAGTTTAAAAATATGAACTCTATCTTTCAATTCCATAATAGAAGTTTGCGTTGTAACTGTGTGACACTCTATATTGGCATTTCATAGTGTTTTTTTGGTATGATATTATTGCCATTCTAACTCACACTTCACAAATAAAAACACGGAGATCTTATTTTGGTACTTTTTCAATATTTTACTCCTAATTAAGTCTATTTTCTTATATTTAATACTCCATATAATGGTGTGCATACTCTCTCCTACCTATATTGACTTGTTGAAAATGGAAAGTGTGACTAAGTTTTTTCTTAAAGTGGAAATATTTAATACTCCGTAGCTTGTTAGCTGCACTTAAAAAATAGCCTGTTAGCTGAGCTTACATAATTAACAAGGTCTTGTTCATCTGCCCCTCCACGGAATCTCCTAATCGTTTCGCCGGTGATTATTTCGAGCAACAACACACCAAAGCTGTAAACGTCAGATTTGGTCGAGAATCGGCCGTGGATTGCATATTCCGGTGCCATGTACCCACTGCATTTTTATGACTTTATCCATTATTATATGTTCACATACTATGTGGTAAAAGGCTTCATATATAAAATATTACTACTCCTGCTTTGAGAACTCTGTAGTAATGTACTGTACTTACTAGGTGCCGACGATCCTGCTAGTGGTGTCTCTTGTTTGATCCTCTGATTCGAACAACTTTGCCATTCCGAAATCTGAGATTTTCGGATTCATTTTCTCGTCCAAGAGGACATTACTGGCCTTGAGGTCGCGGTGAACAATCCGAAGTTGGGAATCTTCGTGAAGGTAAAGAAGCCCCCGGGCTATTCCTGCAATGATGCTCCGGCGTGTCTCCCAGTCCAACATTCCACGCTTGTTTGCATCTACACACATATGGACAAGGGTTTAGACATATTGTCTTTAAATTAGTGGTTTTAAACACTGAGAAAACACATGGGAATGTGTATGAGAACAACTTTTGACCTTCTGTTTCACTTAAATGCAATTTTAAGTGTTTAGCAATTTCTTTAGGCTTATAAAAACAATGGCTTCAAATGTGCATATTGAGATCTAAAAGTATACTAACCAAATACCAAGTGGTCGAGGCTTGATTTGGGCAAGAACTCATAAATGAGAAGCCTTTCAATTCCTTGCACACAAAAGCCAAGAAGTCTGACCAAATTCCTGTGCTGTAGCCTAGCAACACAAATCACCTCATTCTTGAATTCAATCTCTCCTTGTTTCGAATTTTTGGACAATCTCTTCACAGCTATGACCTCCCCATCTGAGAGCACACCCTAAATCCCACGCACAATGATTTTTAAAAAGCACTACTTCGTTAATACCCATCTTATTGTCATATACTTTAACTCCGTCTCATAACTTAAATCTCACTAACTAAATACTGGTAGTTAACAAGATGAAGATGTGCATATGAACATAGTTACGGAGTATGAAGATGTTCATGCAGATGTTCTAAACACTTGGGATATGGAGATGTTCTTCATAGTTTCGGAGTATATACACATTTTCTTAATGTTATCAAATGATGAATGAAAATGTATTCAAAACATATATACTCCATATGATTTGTCATATGAATATGATTGAGTCCGTGTGTTGGGTCTATCCCACATAGGAAAAATCAAAATAATACTACTCTCATATTAA